GGAATCAGCATTGGAATGGAAGCTACGTGAAGTTCCAAAACGTCGGAGACCGCGGCCAGGCAGTTCCAGCTTATTTGTCTACTCCTTTTCATTTAAAGCAGATTGTTCCAAACCCTCGTCTGCAATGCAGACCTACACAAAACCTAAACTCTAAGGGGGCTGCCTCACTTCGCCTAATCAAAGAATCAGTAATCTACTGAAAAAATAGCTGCGTGACTGTTTGTTTGCTCGCGTATCCTGCCGCAGCTACAACATAGAAGTTTAAATCTGCCAAAGAAAAAATAACAAGCAACAAATGTACATGTGTTGTGCTTTTAGTCGGTGTGTGTGATCTTTTCTTCTTCTTTTTGGGGGGAGGGTCGGCCACACGATGGTCAGCATGCATTATCTCGCCAATAAGCTTGTTTGCACCAATGTGCATTGAAAACGGAATTTTCCAACTTCATCGTTACGTTTAACCACACATGTTTGCGCGGGTGCGGTAATGTCGAGTTCGCTGTTTGGTTTGTTTTCACAGCGAGAAGCCGCGGTGTCTAGTTGGTCTCAAACTCCGATATTTTGTACTCCGATGCAGACGTGTGCCTACCTCCAACACTCGCTCGGGCGCCATCAGAAATACATCCAGTGAGGTGAGTTAGCTAGCAAAATTTATCCAACACGATAATGCACGTGCACCCGCCGGCAAATAGGAGAGTGCATTCAAGACAGGATTTTTTCAACGTCCCCTTCAGTGTGATCATAGGGTTGATGTGGGATGGACAATGTAGCATTTCGTCCATTTTTTTTATGGCCGCGTCGCGAAAAGACAGCCCGATATTGGATTCAAATGCCATGTTGCCGAAATGCGCAGGCAACTGTGACCTCTGTCGGGAGATATTCGAAATTGTCGCCGACATGTGCAGGCAATTGTGACCCTTGTCGAGTGATATTCGAAATGTTCCCCATGTATTTGCAATCCTTTAGTATTTGTCGTTTCCCCATGCTGGATATCTAAACCTTCTTGATGTCAATGAGGAAAGCCTGAATCTGTTTTTTGCTTTTCTTTTTGGCATGTCAGTTCTTGAAAACAACCGATTTGTTATGACCGTTATACCAGAAATGACCGAACGTTAATTTAGCAGGAGGTACTGGTTGAAAGGAATATCTAACATGTCAAAGTCAATAGCATACGTTACCAAGCTACTCGTCGTTTCCAGCGATGCTCACGGCGCCCCTGGACATGAGTGATGTTGGAAACTCCCAGCTTTTTCATAACACATTTCAATGGCTGTTTAGCATCTTCTTTCAACCAGTATGCTTCCCGGTATATTGAAGCTTGTTTTCAACATGCGAGCTAACAACAAAGCTCTCGCCGCGTTTAGCTAGAAAACGTGTGCCCCGCCAGGCGGGCTCATCACGCCACAGCCACTCAGCCCAATGCGTAGCTTCCGTTCCATAAGCTCCTCTTGTCCAATGAGTTCCTTTCATCAACTCATCTGCCCTTGTTGAACTCGCTGGTTACATTTAGTTCGTTGCTGTTGAATTAGATAAGTTTCAAGCTGTTAGCGAAGCGGTGAGGCAAACGGCTTAATTTTACCATGACGGCGAGAGAGAAATTCCAAACAAAGTAGCAAAAACAAATCCCATTCATTTTCTTACAGCGCTATTATCTCCACGATGATAAATGTCACCTGCTCTTACAGATCCTGCTCACTTTAGCGCTGACATAACTATCTGCTGCTTCATGCCCTGTTCTGAGACTTAGTGGCACACTTAGATGAAAAATACTGCAATATGTTACGCTGACGTCATTTCCGCTTCACCTCGCTAACAATTGCCTTACACTGGATTTCTGTTATCCCTCAGGGCCCAGATTAAACATTTATTTGGAAGTGGTGACAATTACAAAACATAGTCCATCAGTCAGCCCTCAAAACCAGTTTTCATAAAACCACGCGTTTTGGGGCATACAACAGAGTGGCGTTATCTTTGCAGCGCCCATACACTTCCTTTCACCTAAAGGACGAAATGTTACCAGATCAGTACGATTCATGATATTAGCACTAGATTTAAATCTCACATATGACCTGGCCACCGAGATCTGACACAAACCGGTGACCTGGCTTAAAAGTGCCAAATCCATGCTTTCCGCTGGGGTGTGGGTGACCTACCACACACACGAACTCGGATACCCACGCAAATGCGTCGTGCCCGTCTATCCTCAGCTTAATGCATGTTGCTCGTTCTCCGCCGGTACATAAGGTTTCTTAGACGCCGACTCCGGATGTGCTGCTTTCATGTGCCAAATAATCTGGTAACAGCATGCCTGGCTTGGACCAGGTGCAGTGAGTGGCTTTTCAATTTAAATCTTTCAAGTAAAACGTCTCTCTGCGCTTCCTTTTTAGCAGCTCGATATGGGCTGTATTGAACGAAAGCGTAACAGAATCGTTGTTATATCATCCAGCCTTCAGACCATGCAAATGCTGACCAAACTAAGTGATTCATATATAGTGCATTATAAATACAAATAACAGATGGCCCTCTTTTAGATATTCCCCCACGTGATCTGTCTCCTGCACGGCAAATTCGCGTCACATTGTTCCAAGAATAAAATCCCACAACAAAGGTTTGCTGGAAGAGTTAGCGCCCTACGCAGCGCATGCAAGGTTTCAAGTGCAGAGTGGTTAACAAAAATGGACAGTTTTGTGCGGGTTCTTATACAGTCTAAGCAACCATACCGCACAGTCAGTGCTCTATCACACTTTGTCCCCTTCGAGTTACCGCACTACGGTGCGTTGTCTGGCTCGCCCCTCCCCCCCCCCCCCCCCCCCCCAGCAGCGGATGGATCGAACGCTGAGCAACCGAGACCAGGCACGACGCAATACGGCTATTGGTTCGTGCCTGGATGGGAACGTGTGGGCAGGCTGGATAAGGCTGTGCGCTGTGATCCTGTTGCAGCTGGCTTTCGGCGTCAAGGAAGCTTACGGTCGCAGAGCTTTCCGTGCGCCACATTATTGGTCTGCCCTCCCACGAAAGGACGAACAAATCGACCGCTCACTGTCGAGAAGTCGAGGTAAAGGTGACCTCGGGAGAGCAATGCTCTATCAAGCCGAGACCCACCACCTTCAACGAACTGGCGTTGGCTCTTGTTTAAAGTCGCGGTGTAACGCGACTTAGTCTGCGTTCATAGTCCGTTGCCTTCAGCGGCTGGCGTTGGCCCTTGTTGAAGCGTTACCTTCAGGGACTGACGATGACCCTTGTTCATAGTCACAGTGAAGAGCCCCGTTACCTCCAGGGACTGGCGATGACTCTTGCTCATACTTGCGGTGAAAAGCCCCTTTACCTTCAGGGATTGGTGTTGGCCATTGTTGATAGTCACGGTGAAGCGCTGCCTGAGAAGCGACTGCTGCTGGTGGTGGTCTGCAACAATAGCCACCATTGCAGACCTGCGGGGATCCAGGTTTCGTAAGAGCATGACGAGTACGTCTTGCCCGAACACTAACTTGTGATAGCCGTCGTCATGGCTCCAAACTGCTGAAGTCCTCCACGGGGTAGCTGGAGTGCACAGTCTCCTCGAGGTCTTCACCGACACAGGTTCTTGTCTATCCACGCGTCCTCCCTAGCGGCTTAGAGTTCATATTATCAGCATTCAAAGTTTCTGTGCCTAGGGCGACCTCTTCGCTGAGCCAGGTTGGGCTTCGCAACATTCGTCCGGGTTTGGAAAACCTTGACCAGTTGGCCGTCGAGAAATTCTTTGCTTTCGCCGGAGGGAAAGTATTTATAGTATATTTGGAAAGTATAATTAAAAGTATAATAGGAAATAGTATAATAGTATAATGGGAAATATAATAGGAAAGTATAATAGGAAAGTATATTTGCGTCCTCCCTAGCGGCTTAGAGTTCATATTATCAGCATCAAAGTTTCTGTGCCAGGGCGACCTCTTCGCTGAGCCAGGTTGGGCTTCGCAACATTCGTCCGGGTTTGGAAAACCTTGACCAGTTGGCCGTCGAGAAATTCTTTGCTTTCGCCGGAGGGACGCTTTGCTTGACTTTCTTGGCTGTGGATCTGGCCGGTGTCAACTGGCAGGAGTTAGTTGGCGGACTAACCTGCTGTCTTGTCGCCGCGCGCAGACGCTGGTGGTGAGATGCCCGTTAATACTATACTAGTCACTTACACACTGTGATTATGTAACGCCACAGATAAACAGCCGCGAAGAATACCCTGGAATCAAGACTTGGACTGGGTTGTTATGCTCAGCTGATCGTGGTATTTTGGTTTTCATTATATCTTCTCGTCACTGTCAAATAAGCCGTTATTTAGCACGCGGCACCCGACATTCTGCGTTGCTCCAAGTTTCAAATGCTGCGGAGCCGACCGCCGCCAATACTAAGACTGCGGGCAGGTTCGCTCGCTCTGCACCTCGCACGGCAGTCCGATCTGGACCAGTAAGACCATAATCTTTCTCTCGTCACGTTGATTTAGAACATATGAGGCTTCGGGGTCTGCCACCGACGGTTGTCGGGTTATTAGAAGCCAAGCGACAGCTTCTCATTTATCGCATACGGTGGCGTGCAACCACAGTTACCTTCTTCCACGATGATTCATGGATTAAGAACAAGTCCTTCATCTTCTCCTCTGGCAGCCGGGCTGCCTTCCCAGTAAGTCCCTGAAATATGTCCACTCCCACACTTGTTGAAATGTTCCTGTGCCTGCTGCGCAGAAACCTGCTGTCCGGAGGTGGCCCCCGTGAAAAAAAAAATGGCTGCCCACTCTTCTGTGAGTTTGAGGTGCCGCCCTTAGTATGAGTTCGGGTAATACGCACCGGTTAGCCGCAACAGCCGCAACCGAACACAGCCGGCCTGCCCGCCCAGCGGCAGCACACGCTCCACGCGCACCACGCACCGTTTTGATGAATGGTAAAGTACGCATGCGCGTTATGTGTTTACAACCGCCCACGTGACCTCGTAATGATCGCCGCACACTAGCCAGCGTAGAAATTGTACGCAGTAGAGGCTGCGTGAAGGTGAGTGGGTGTGCGGCGCGCAGATTTCTTGGTAGGGGAATTAGTGATTACCAACGTTAACTGCGTTACATTGTTTTGCTTTTCGCTCATCGCTGGGCACTGCCGTCGCGGTGGTTGTCACTTCCTTCCAATCGATACCTGAGATACTATATTTTGTACTGGTGAGGTCAGTCGACGTTCCTCTGGCAGTTTTGCAACATTGAAGGCTGATGGTTACTTTTGACGCGTTTTATTTGCTTGTTATTGCCGAAAGTCTGATAAAACAAGATGATTTGTCGGTTGGGAGTTACCTAGACGAACGTGGCGCGACGTGGGTGGTGTGCTCAACGTGTTTTCATGATGAGAACTCTGACCGTGGTAATATTTGTTTGTGGCTAAGAGGCATGCCTGGGACACTTCTCATACTTGTTGCACTACATTTTACTTTTGATAGTTGTAGTTTTTAACTTTGTGTGTTGTTCACTGTAACCATTTGGTTATGGGGGTTTCACATCTGGATCATGAGAAGTTGGTGTTTATTTATTGGTGATGATCAGTGATCATAGGCATTGCTGATTTCACTGTTGTTTCATTTCGAGGAAACCATGTGATGTAAGTAATTACACCTTTATGAGACTTTTGGTGCAGGTATTTGCTATATTCAATGCAGCATGTGTGTTTTATATTGACCAAAGGGTAAGGATGGACATGATGAGGTTGTACACAATATTCCCAAGTATTTTGAAGGGTCCAGTATTTAGCACACCTTTTCTCTTAGACATAGCAGAAATATGTGCTTGGTGTAAGGCTGAATTAACATAGACTGTGCTGACATGCTGACCAAGGATCCACTGTATTTGTATGTGAATCATATTTATTACCTGAATATCAGGGGATTGTCTAGACAGGCAAACTGGATTTCATATGAAGTCACTGACAGCCTGGAAGAGTGCAGCAGGTAGAATCATGGCAGAACTTGTCAAAGCCACTGAACAACATACAAGGAGAAGGCAGACAGAGGTTAGATGATTTCTCATGGACCAGCTCACCATCAATATTCAAAGAAGAACTAAGCAGTTTGTGACATATTTAATGTCTGGTTCATAATAAAGCCTCTGCTTAGATTGCAAATCTAATAATTGTGTCAGTAAGAATGCAAGGAAAATAAGACAAGAAAAAATAAGTGGGATTGGCAAAGAACATTAAGAAGCAAGCCCAAGGCCATATGGCACATCATGGATGCAAGAATTGACATACTAATGCTAATCAAAGATTTGATTGACTGTGTCCATGAAGCAATCAAAACACATCAAGCATTGATTATGGCAAAAGAACAGTTCCATGATGAGAGCAAACTGGTAAAAGACCAAAGGGCTGGGGAGTTTACTGACTTCACTCTGACTGAAGAAAGCAAATACCAGATTTGTGATCATGCAGACCATTGGGTGTGCTCCTGAAATATCATTGGGGAGGGCTCTTTTTTAAGGAACCCCTCAAGGTAAGGAAAGAAGCTAGGTAGCATCCCAGCCATTTTGAATGAAATAAGGATGGAGCAGCCAAACCACCATTTAGTTCCTTCAAGATAAGTTGTATGTAAGGTCATGGAATCTGTGGTTGGTGTAAGGTCATGAGGTCACTAACCTGTTCCATGACCTGTGTAAGGTCATGGAACAGGCAAATGATCACCAGGTTAGGACAGTCTCCTCTGTTCATACCTATGTGGCGTTGTTCAAAAACGGTCAGTTGTCACAATTGGACAGCTGTACCAAAAAAAGATGGCGAGCACCATCTGGATATATTTATTTTGATTTTGACAAAGCATCTTACTCTGTCCCTGATCAGCAGTTGCCCTGCAAATTGCCAGCCCCCTGAATGCAATCATGTTTTTGACAGAATGCAATGACTTTTGACATTGATTTGAGCATTTCTTAAAAGAAGACTGCACAGTGTTACAACACCTGAACTGGTGTTCAAGTGGAGTAGAGCTACAAGCAGATCTCCAGTGCAGTTGTATTGGGCTGACACTGTTTCTCTCTTATATCAGTAGTCTGCCAGTTATCATCAGATCATTGGTGAAAATTTTTGCCAAAAATACAAAAATGCTCAGCAACATGACAACCTTGGCGGATGTTCAAGAACTACAAGACAGCAATGTCAGAGCAGGTCTAACATGGTCAAAGCAAATGCCAGAGCAAGTCAAATATGGTCAAAGCAGTGGCAGCTACCTCTCATTGTCATTAAAGCCAAGGCAATGTACATGTGACTCATGTGTTTTACATCTTCTTTTCAAAGTGTCTTTTTAGCAGTGTCCATGTTTTGTACTCAGTGAAAAGCTTGATTGAGATCATAATATTTTCAAACAAAGCTAATGTCAAATTCACAACTACCATTTTACTTCAAAGCCATCACAGCGTGTATGTCATCACTGTGAATCCACCACATAAGTTTAAATTTAGCCATGCAGTCTTATATTTTGATTGTGTGCCACACAAAGTCTAAAGCATGTGTGTTGTCATATAGGTATTGAGATTCCAGACAGTTTTTTACAGCCTGGTGACATGCAGTAGAAATGGTGAAACATCTGTAATTTTCATTGAAGAATACATGTTTGGTTTTACCAGTAATCCGCGTGCCGTTAGTCCCCAATCATTATTATTTGCACATTTTGGTGGAAGTGTGAAGTGGTGCAAATGAGTCATTTCTCATAGTGGGGTCATACTTTTATATCTTTTGATTGGGGATTTTCAGTCTTCAAACTTCACAGCATTCGTGAATTATGAGAGCAGTCACTTGCTTCCCTACCTCACACTGTTGTAGCACCCTGTATGCCTAGATATACAACCACCTGGCGTGCTGCTGGTACCTGGCATGTGCCTGTTCTCTTCCCACCTTGTGTGTGGCTGCTGTAGCCGTCTGCGCGCGCCTGAGCTCGGGGTGCGTTTGTGCTATTGCAGCGTGTGGCAGGCAGCTGCGGCCGCGTCTGGTGACGGGCCGCCCGCCGCCCCGGGCTGTCCGGCCGCGCCGCCCCGCGCCGCCCCGCGCCGCCAGCCATGGCCGACGCCCAGGATGACGTCGCCAAAACCGGCTACCTCAAAGTCCGCAGGAAGGATGAGAAGGTGGGCCTTGCGCGGCTACCGGGCTGGGCGGAGAGACCAGCTTACTATGTGCAGTCGTGGGGCGGTTGTTAAAAGGCAATTGTTTACTGTCTTTCCCCCATTATAATTGTGTTCTTGCTGTAGAGCTTATCCTTCAGCTTATTGTTAGCAAGAGAGTCATTCACATGGAGTGTGCGTTTCGCAATGTCAGTTGTGCTAGATCCGGCCAACCGTCGTTTCAGCTCCAAAGTGTTTACTTCTCTGTTGAGACTCCTGGACAACGTGGTAGGCGAAGTTTTTGGCTATATTCCACTTCTAAACCAGCTTGTCGCCTTGGACGAAATGGTGACAGCTGTTGTGCCGCTGACTTAGCTGTTGTTTGGGAGTGACCTGTAGCCGAAAATTCGAATCACTACACTTTTTGAGAGTTCGATGACACTTGATTTGCAGATGAGGAAAAAGTTCAAAATAATGGCAATCTTCTTATGCTCCCCGCGACGTCACATGATGACAGGAGTCTGACTTTGGTTGATGATCCGTTTTGCTTGCACCATTTGTCAGCTGTACCAGGATGGCTGGATTATCACAGGAGCCTGACTTTGTTTGATGATCCATTTTGCCTGTACCATTTGTCAGCTGTACCAGAGTGGCTGGATTATCACAGCAACAGCACAGCAGCCTGAGTGGTTGATCTGTTGTGCTTGTACCATTTGTCAGACATACCAAAGTGGTCAGCTGTTGAATGCTCTCACATGTCCCAACAGAAATTCAAGAAGCGGTGGGCTGTGCTGCGGCAGGACACTGCATCAATGGACATATATGAATCTGACAAGAAGTGGAAGACTGGAGATAAGTGTAAAATGTATGCTGGTCTATGTCTTCACGATGAATGGATATCGTCAGTGAAATGCAGGGGATTAGTTTTGTAATAAGTTGGGTTGGTTGGGGGCATGATTAGTATAAAATGAAGAAATCTGTTCCCCCAAAAAGCCAACAAAGTGGTTTATCCTTGCATTTGAGCCTTTTACCGTAGTTGGTGGCCCGAGTCCAAGTAAGGGGGACAGAAGCCCCCTTCCCCAAAAAGACAAAAATAGGAAAATACATCCCTGGTGTAATGGTATCGAGCGTGGGCATGCCATTATAGTGCAGCCCTGTTTCCGAACACCGTACCGAGACTCCGCTACGGTGTGAGGGTAGCCGCTGTTGCCCGGAAGGGTCGGGCCGGTGAGGGTAGCCGCTGTTGCCCGGAAGGGTCGGGCCGGTGAGGGTAGCCGCTGTTACCCAGAAGGGTCGGGCCGGTGAGGGTAGCCGCTGTTGCCCGGAAGGGTCGGGCCGGTGAGGGTAGCCACTGTTGCCCGGAAGGGTCGGGCTGGTGAGGGTAGCCGCTGTTGCCCAGAAGGGTCGGGCCGGTGAGGGTAGCCGCTGTTGCCCGAAGGGTCGGGCGCGGTGAGGGTAGCCGCTGTTGCCCGGAAGGGTCGGGCCGGTGAGGGTAGCCACTGTTGCCCGGAAGGGTCGGGCTGGTGAGGGTAGCCGCTGTTGCCCAGAAGGGTCGGGCCGGTGAGGGTAGCCACTGTTGCCCGGAAGGGTCGGGCCGGTGAGGGTAGCCGCTGTTACCCAGAAGGGTCGGGCCGGTGAGGGTAGCCGCTGTTGCCCAGAAGGGTCGGGCCGGTGAGGGTAGCCGCTGTTGGCCAGAAGGGTCGGACTGGTGAGGGTAGCCGCTGTTACCCAGAAGGGTCGGGCCGGTGAGGGTAGCCGCTGTTGTCCAGAAGGGTTGGGCCGGTGATACTTGTGTCTGTCACCTTCACGAACTATGCCACTTCCCATGTCAGCGCTGCACGCATCACCACAGATATGGGGCCTGTGAGATCCAGCTGCTCACATCATCCAAACAGGCAGTTCTTTGTGTGTCTGTAGTTTTGGGGAACAGCTGTATCATATCTCTCTTGTGGACAGCAGTCACAACAGTCAAACAGACAGTTCTCTGTCTATATGTAGTTTAGGGGAACAGCTTTATCTTATATCTCTTGTGGAGGGCGTGCGTGTCGCTTTCGGTCTGAACTGTACATTGTGTGCCACATCATAGTCCTATGTGCGAAACCCCCGAAACACCTAGATTTTCCAGGCCCACACCTAGATGCCTTAGGAAGAAGACAGGGATAGGGACTTTTGCATTGCTCTAGCTGCGCTCCCTAGTCCCGTGCTTGTAACCGCACGTTTTCTTCATACTTGGGACGGCATCAGCGGTGCGCACGTTGCGTCGGCGCTGGAGCGCTGCCTGACGCTGCCGTCGCTGCCGGCAGGTCCATCCCGCTGCCACCCTGCTTCAGCGTCAGCACCAAGGTGGAGCCCAAGTGCAAGTACGCCATCGGCCTGATGGGCGTCACCAGCTACAGCCTGGGCCTGGAGACGGAGGAGGAGCAGACCGACTGGCTGTTGAAGCTGCGCTGGGTCCATCAGGGCGGCCGCCACCCGGACGACGAGCAGACGCGCACCCAGTACGGTGAGTGCTGGCGCGGGCCGCGGCCGACGCCACGCCCCGGCGCCGCCTCGGTGGCGTTCGAGGGAAAGGATGTGCGTGTGTGATCGGGATGCACCCGCTTGTGCTTGCTCCAGTTTGTGCGCGCTGTGCCGAGCGTGCCCGTCCCGTGACGGTTGTGCTCGTGGCCAGTGCGCTTTAGCGGCGTGTGCGTGCGTGTACCCGCTGGCGCGCCTCTGTCGTCGGTGCGTTGGTGCGGGACGTCTGCACGGGCCGACACCGGCGTTGTTACGTCCGACAGAGCGGATGTGGGACGTGACGATCACGGACCGCGGCCTGGGCAGCACCAAGAAGATCAATGGACAGTACTGCGTGGGGCTCACCGCGGACGGCATCCAGCTCATCAACAAGGACAACCCCAAGCAGACGTACGACCTGCCGGTGAGTGCGCCGGCGCCACTGCCGTTCCCACCGGGCCGGAGCGCAGGCCTGCCGGAGCCCGCCCGTTCGAGCGTCCGATGCGGGCTGTCGGTGACGTGTGTGGGCCTGCCGTTAGAGAGCGGTCTGGTGTCGGGGCGCACGATGCCGGAGCTGACCCGTGGCGTGGCGATGGTTCGGTGGTGAGGTGATGACCTCAGTCGTGCTCTCCCGGGCAGTTCACGACGATCCGCGGCTGTCGTCATGTTGACTGCTTCTTCTGGATGGAGGTGGGCCGCACCTCCTGCTTTGGCGCCGGCGAGATCAACATGCAGCTCGAGGAGCGCATCTATGCTCAAAACATGCACGAAGTTATGAAGGCCAAGTTTAAGTAAGTTGGAATTGAAGATGGTAGTCCCTGTTTCATTGTTATTCATCTTGGCACGCGGCTCTCAAGCTGCTTCCCAGTAAGACATCGCTGTTATGAGAGAGTGGCGTGACAACTGTGTTGGTTTTCTAGTCGTCCATGAGGCCAAATGTATTTTTTAAAATGCATTTCTGCTGTTTTTAATTTGCTTGAACTGTAGCATGCAGTGCATGTAACGGATGGTGTCAGTATTGTATTCATCGCACATAAGGGCTAGGAGGAATCTGAAAGCCTCCGTAGGAGCCGTTCGGAAATCCAGGCGACCAATTCGTTTGTCTGCATCTCCAACTGTCGGCGGGATGCGGTCGCCAGCTCCCAGCGAGTCGGGGAGCTGCGTGACCGAGTGGTGGCCGTGTCTATCGCCGTGCTGTGCTGTCGTCAGCTCCCGCAGCAGCGAGTCGGAGAGCCAGACGGGCGAGTCGCGGCCGCGGGCGCCCTCCGCCTCCGAGCCGTCCCGGCCCATCTCCGTCAAAGGTCGACGAAACACCTACTCATGTGAGAGACAGAGACGCACCGGCCCGCTCCTCGTCCGCCGCCGCCCCGCCTCTCTCCCGGACCGCTGCCCATTCTCTCGCTCCGCCGCCCCGCCTGGATCCCCGCCTCTCTCCCGGACCGCCGTCCGTTCTCTCGCGCGCCGCCACCCTGCCTGTCTGATCTCCCCGCCTCTCTCTCCCGGACCGCTGCCCGTTTCTTTCTCGCGCCGCCGCCCCGCTTGGATCCCCGCCTCTCTCCCGGGCCGCCGTCCGCTCTCTCGCGCGCCGCCACCACCCCGCCTGTCTCATCTCCCCGCCTCTCTCCCAGACCGCCGTCCGTTCTCTCGCGCGCCGCCACCCCGCCTGTCTGATCTCCCCGCCTCTCTCCCGGACCGCTGCCCGTTCTCTCGCCCGCCCGCCTCCGTCTCTGTCTCTCAGCTTGGGCGCCTGACTAACGCCTGACGCCTCGCCGCTCTGACCTGACCTGACCTGACCTGACCTGACCTTACCTGGCCTCTGGGGCTGCCGGCCGGAGTGGGCCTCTGCGCCGCCGTCGCTGACGGCTCCCGGGTGGGAGGGTGGGCGCGGACTGACCGGGGTCAGACGGGCGCTCCGGGAGGAGCTGGCTGCGTCACCCGGCTCGGCACAGAGGCCGCTGCGAGCTAATCCTAACGCTGTAAATAGTGCGGAGTCCGCGCGGCGTGCAGTCGTTATGCATTCCATGGCCTTTGTCGCGTATGTGGGTGAGGCTTGAACAGCGGTTCATTTAACGTAACAGGTAGCTGACGATGACACTGAAAGGCTGGTATCTGTCTAGTAAAAACTGGCATTCTTATTGGACTGTCACTAATTCTGTGCATTTAGGTCTGACGTACAAAAGTCCGCCACTGCGTGCCGGGCGAGCAGAGGCTCTCGCACCGTTGTGCAACGAATCACTTCATTCTTCGCTGTAGAATAACTCGAAGTTTGACCACGGCCCCCACTTTTACATAGGGGACTGCAAGCACAGCAATCAGTTGATTCTAGCACACACATCTTTCCGAAGGAGAGATGGCTCGTTGAATACAAATTGGTGGTCTGTAGATGGTCACAGATTGCGCCTCCCATGTGTGGACGGGGCTTCGGCTGGGTTTTGTGGCTCGCAGATGATGTGCTGTATGGACTGGGTCTAGTGTCTGGTGTTGCTGCGCTGGGGCATTTAACCACGCCAGTGTTCGTGTACCGCAAACCGTGTATTTGCTTCCTAACCACGGGGCCGACGTCGGTGAATGCTGGACCAACACCGGACACGCTGCTATTGTTTCGGCTCCGCCGTCACTGCTCGCATCGTACCTGACCAGCTGATTGTGGGCGCGATAGACATGTCAAGGCCTCCGTTTATGAGAGGTCAATTTGTATGTCTTGTGTCAGTACAATCGCTGCTTGGTGTTGCAAATCCAACGTCACACATATGCACCTTGAGCCGTAATGTTGTGGACTCTGAGCAACGCTGTACGCACATGTGTGTGGGTGTGGGTGTGGGTGTGGGTGTGGGTGTGGGCGTGGGCGTGGGCGTGGGCGTGGGCGTGGGCGTGGGCGTGGGCGTGGGCGTGGGCGTGGGCGTGTGTGTGGTGTGTGTGTGTGTGTGTGTGTGTGTGTGGTGTGGTGTGGTGTGTGGGTGTGTGCGTGTGTGTGTTGGCCGGCGGCGGGGATGGTGCGTCCGTATCTGTACGCACATGTGTGTGTGTTGGCCGGCGGCGGGGATGGCGCGTCCGTATCTCACCTCGCCGCACATGTGTGTGTGTGTGTGTTGGCCGGCGGCGGGGATGGCGCGTCCGTATCTCACCTCGCCGCACGTGTGTGTGTGTTGTGTGTGTGTGTGTGTGTGTGTGTGTGTGTGTGTGTGTGTGTGTGTGTGTGTGTGTGTGTGTGTGTGTGTGCGTGCGTGCGTGCGTGCTTGCGTGCGTGTGTGTGTTGGCCGGCGGCGGGGATGGTGCGTCCTTATCTCACCTCGCGCCCTGACGGACCCCGCAGCCAACAACTCGTCCCAGACGTCGGTCAACACCATCTCGCTGTCGACGACGCCCGGCCGGGACCGGTCCGGCTCGGTGCCCAACCGACCGCGTACCACCAGCGAGGGTAACAGCGACCGGCACCACGGCCCACAGCAGGGGTACGTACCTCTGACCCTGTCGCGGCCCGCCGCAGGTGCACGTACGTCCTGACCCTTACACGGCCCGCCACATGGGCACGTACCCCCGATCGTCACACGGCCCGCCGCAGGTGCACGTACCTCTTGACCCTTACACGGCCCGTCATATGGGCACGTACACCCGACCGTCACGCGGCCCGCCGCAGGGGTACGTACCTCCTGACTCTTGACGCGGCCCACCGCAGGGGTACGTACCTCCTGACTCTGACACGGCCCACCGCAGGGGTATGTACCTCCTGACTCTGACACGGGCCGCCGCAGGGGTACATACTTCCTGACCCTGGCGCGACCCACCGCAGGGATACATGCCTCCCGACCCCCACACGGCCAACCGCAGGGGTACGTACCTCCCGATCCTGACACGACCAGCGACCACCGCCATGGTCCGACGCATGGGTGCACCTTTTCACCACAGCCTAGGGTGATGTTGAAGTGTCAGAGCAGGTGGCAGGTACGTGGGGCATGCTCTAACGCTCACTGTGGCCATCTGCGGGTTTGCTGGTCAGTGTCTGTGCTGGTCGCCGCGTGGATGCGGGGCATGACACCGGCTGACGGTGGGCCGGTCGGCCGGCAGGCATCACACGCGCGCCCGGGCCGCCACTGACGCCCGGACGCACGCCATCCACTCGCGCAGCTCGAGCATGACGGCCGGCTCACCGCCGCTGCTTGGCAGTCCCTTCAGGTCAGTGATTCGGCGCTCCCGCAGCGGCCAAGTCGGTGGTGGGCTGTCCCCTGAGCGGGTAAAGGCCGGCCGGGGGGCCGTAAGGTCAGGTCAGTGACTCGTCATCCAAGCCTGCTCAGGTTGAGGGCGCGGCTGCGGCGCGATGCTCAGGTCGGCAGCGTCTCTAAAGCACGTCGAGTATAGAAACCGGGACATTGCTGCAGCCTTCCCCCGCGCTGCGACCGGGGCAGAAGCTGACCGTTCGGTATGAAAGCGTGTGCCACCCCGCAGCCTTCCCCCGCGCTGCGACCGCGGCAGAAGCTGACCGTTCGGTATGGAAGCGTGTGCCACCCCGCAGCCTTCCCCCGCGCTGCGACCGGGGCAGAAGCTGACCGTTCGGTATGAAAGCGTGTGCCACCCCGCAGCCTTCCCCCGCGCTGCGACCGCGGCAGAAGCTGACCGTTCGGTATGGAAGCGTGTGCCACCACGCGGCCTTCCCCCGCGCTGCGACCGCGGCAGCAGCTGACCGTTCGGTATGGAAGCGTGTGCCACCACGCGGCCTTCCCCGCGCTGCGACCGCGGCAGAAGCTGACCGTTCGGTATGGAAGCGTGTGCCACCACGCGGCCTTCCCCCGCGCTGCGACCGCGGCAGCAGCTGACCGTTCGGTATGGAAGCGTGTGCCGCCGGTCCGCCCGTTCCCGCCGGGACGCTCGGCGCCGGCGTCTGCCGCTGCCGCCGCCGTGTTGGCGGCGTCGGTGTGCGAGCCTTACCCGCGTGCCGCCGCCGCAGCCCGGCCTCCGTGGAGAGCAACTCGTCCTACAGCATGGACGAGCAGCCCCCCATGTGCCACCCCATCACGCCGGACAGCATCATCGTGGAGGAGACGGGCGATTACCTGCCAGGTGCGTGGCCCGGCCGGGGGACGGGCGGCTGCCGGTCCCCAGGACCGCGGGAGCTCCGGGCGCGGCGGGACTGGGCTCCAGGGACCGGGGCACGCTGGTGTCAGCCAGGTCACCAATTAGCTGGTGGTCTGGTCGCGAGCGCCTGAATTATGTCCGTTGGATGTGGCAGGCTCGCATTTCGGGAACATTGATTGAAGTCGCGTACTGTGTCTGCACTGTAATCCTCGTACGCAGGTGACGTTTGGTACTCTTCGGGGTGCTGCGTGCTCTGCGCACTTGTCTTGATGTCCAGGGCTGTGGCCGCGTGCCGCCAGTTGATGCGCCTCGCTGTAGGGCGCGTAGGGTCCAGTGTGCAGCGGTCCGGCACGGGTCCCCCTTGTCGGTGACTCGACGACCGTATGTCGGTTCTGATCGCGTGTGCCCGTGCTGGCCGCCAGTGAACCCGTCGCGGGCGTTCGGGCACGACCTGGCGGACGGGCCGGGCCGGCGGCGCGTGCTGCCGCCGCTGTCGCTGGCGCTGGGCGCGCCGGCCGCCGCCGCCGCCGAGTCGCCTTACCTGCCGATGAACGTGTCGCCGAGCGCCGGCGCCGCCCGCCACGGCACGCCGGCCGGCGCCGACGCCGCCTACCTGCCCATGTTCTACTCGGGCGGCGCCGACACGCCCGACAACTGCGTCATCAGTCCCAGTGAGTGTCGCGGCGCCGGGCCGGCCGCAGGCTGTGTATCTGCGATATTTTCCCTGCGATGGTCTCCGTGGGACCGTGAGACGTGAGACCACTTCGGCATTTCATTCGCCGCACTCAGCCAGCGGTGTTGTGCTGTGCGGTCGGTCGGCGGTCGCCTCGGGTGCCTGCCAGAGCGGTGATACCGAGTGGCGTCAGCCAGCTGACCTGACCTGACCTGACCTGACCTGACCTGACCTGACCTGACCTGACCTGACTTGACCGCAGCGCCGAGCCAGGGCCACCTAGGCCACCACAGCCGCGACTCCAGCCTCACCGAGGACAGCTATGTGCCGATGCTGCGTGTGGCGGCCGACATCGGCGCCGACGACGCCAGCTACATGTCCATGAAGCCCGGCCTGCCGCCTCTCTCGGACGGTACGTCCCGGCGTCTGACACCCGGCCGCGACATGCGCCTGACGCTGTTCCCGAGCCAGGCAGTGCACAAGCTGCGGGGGGAGGAGGAGGAGGGGGGGGGGGGGGGGGTGGCAATCTTTCCGCTCGGTCGGCAGGAAATCGTGTTGCTTTCGTTTTTCAGTGGATTCATTGAGTTTGAGTGTATGTGACGTGTGACGTGTACGCTGCTGACGTCTGTATGTGACTTGTCTGCTGCTGACGTCCGTGTTTGATGTGTGACGTGTCCGCTGCTGACGCCCGGGCTTGACGTGTGACGTGTCCGCTGCTGACGTCCGGGCCTGATGTGTGACGTGTCTCCTGCTGACGTCCGTGTTTTACGAGTGACGTGTCCGCCGCTGACGTCCGTGCTTGACGTGTGACGTGTCCGCTGCTGACGTCTGCGTGTGACGTGTTACGTGTCCGCTGCTGACGTGTGTGTGTGTGTGACGTGCGACGTGTCCGCTGCTGACGTCCGTGTTTGACGTGTGACGTGCCCGCTGCTGATGTCTGCGTGTGACGTATGACGTGTCCGCTGCTGACGTGTGTGTGTGTGTGTGTGACGTGCGACGTGTCCGCTGCTGACGTCCGTGTTTGACGTGTGGCGTGCCCGCTGCTGATGTCTGTGTGCGACGTGTGACGTGTCCGTTGCTGACGTCTGTATGTGACGTGTTACGGGCCCGCTGCTGACGGCGTGTCCGGGTGTCGGCAGACATCAGCCACAGTCGCAGCTCCAGCGCGGCGGACCAAGACGGCTACGTGCCGATGGTGCCCGGTCAGCTGTCGTTCACCGTCGACGCCGCCAGCCCCTACATGGACGTGCAGCCGGGCAAGCGGGCCAGCAAGATATCAGACGGTAGGTGCAACTGCCGGGCTGTCAGCCGCCGGGTCGCCGGCTGGGTCAGCCCGGCCATCAGTGGTGGCCGCCGTTTGGCGGGGGGGGGGGGGGGGGAGCGGAGACGGGGGCGTGTCGTGGGCCTCTGCCTAGCGGTGATGAGGTCGGAGCCTCAGCGGCCGCGACCCGCCCAGTACAGCTGCCTCTCCGTTTCAGACTGGAACCCCCTGAGTCTAGGTATGTGGGTGGTTGGGCGTGGCAGCGCGCGCAGGCGGCCGCCGGCCCATTAGCTCCGCACCTCGCCTGCGCCGTGCGGCCGGCGCCCACGTAGCTCGTGTGCACGGCCAGCGGCACCTGTGCACCACCGGCGCACAGACCGTGTGTGTGTGTGTGTGTGTGTGTGTGCACCGCCCCCGTGTCACGCGGGGTCTGCACCGCAGCGTCGGGCCGCCCCTGTGCCCCGCACCCTTGCTCACAGCGCGTGTGGGTGTGAGTGTGGCATCAGGAGGGTCAGGCTGTCACGACGTGTGCTCGAGGTGTTATTGTCGTCACGACCCTGGGCAAATGTAGCTGCGTTCATACCCTGGTGTGTCCTTTGCGTTATGACCTGATGTAAGGTGGAGGCGGCAGACTCGTGTCCCGGAAGATGCTTACGCCGAATATGACTATATGAATTGTCAGGTCTTCGTGACCCGAATGTTCACTCGTGGTGTAGAAGTTGGGAAATTGGCTCTCCGCAGTTGGTATTGTGGTATATCCCCTGGAATTACTACCACAGAATGTATGAGACCCCCTGGCGAAACGGAGGAGCTCAGTGGACCGCGACGCCACGCACTGTCCCTGCGGCATCCGCTGTGTTTCTGAATGTTCCACTGCGACGATGGTGTTCCTGTGAGCGGCCCCCTCTGATTGGCCGGGCGCCGCTGCGGCAGACTCGTACGCCGAGGTGTCGCCGGCCTCCAGCTGCAGCCTGACGTCGGGCACGCCGCTGTCGGAGCCGCAGCTGGAGCGCACGCCGCTCACCGTGCTGACGCCGCCGTCCGAGGACGCGGCGGCGGCCGCAGCGGCGGCTGGCCGCCACGGCCCGCCCGCCGCCGACCCGCATAACAGGTACGGCAGACCGCACGCTGGTCGTCCGGGCTGGACGCTGGAGTGGCGGACGCGCTCTACCAGCGCGTGTCGGCGTATCCCATCAAACCCGCGCGTGACGTCATCACCAGCGTGCATCGTTTGGTGGTGCGGTATAGAAGACATGTATTGTACCTCGGATTACAATGTACATTGTATGGTGCATGTGCCTCGGATTTAAACCTTATTATTGCGCTGATGACTCAGAAATAAGTTTGCTCCCCGGCGTTTGGCTGTGGTCCTAGGTCGTTATCGTGTCAGCGCCCTAAGTACTCGTCTGTCGCGATACCCTGGGCTCATCACGTGCCGCCGCTGTGGCGGAGCGGCGCGGGGAGCCGGCAGCGGGTGGCGCGCCATCGCCGCGCCACCTGCGGCCTGCTGGGACCATGCCGCCGTCGGCAGGTCGGACACGGAGAGCATGCGGACGCGCGCCTCGTCGCTGGGCAGCCGGCTGAGTCACGCGCTGATGCCGCGCCGTCGTGACCGCTCCGAGAGCGACTCCACCTCGACCGAGCGGCCCTCCACCGGCGAGCCGGGCGGCGCCGGCAGGTCAGCCGATCGGGCACAGCGCTCACCGGGCACCGCCGAGGAGGGGTCTCTCCTAGGGTGGCTCCAGTCTCTGGTGGGAGCTGTGCCCCGTTGGGTCCGTCTCCGGTGGGGGTCTGTCCTCGCGTGGGTCCCGTCTCCGGTGGGGGTCTGTCCTCGCGTGGGTCCCGTCTCTGGTTGGGGCCGTGCCCCCGTGGGTCCCGTCTCTGGTGGGGGCTGTGTCCCGGTGGGTCCGTCTGGTGGGGACTGTGTCCCGGTGGGTCCGTCTCCGTTGGGGGTCTGTCCTCGCGTGGGTCCCGTCTCCGGTGGGGGCCGTGCCCCGGTGGGTCCAGTCTGGTGGGGGCCGTGCCCCCGTGGGTCCCGTCTCTGGTGGGGGCTGTGTCCCGGTGGGTCCGTCTCCGTTGGGGGTCTGTCCTCGCGTGGATCCCGTCTCCGGTGGGGCCGTGCCCCGGTGGGTCCCGTCTCCGGTGGGGGTTTCCCTGATGTGTCGTGTAAGCAAAGTTCCCTGCGTAGCAGTCCCTGCCCCAACCCTTATCTGCTTGCCATTGTAGCAACGTTCATTGCCGTTCGACGCGGTGTTTTCAAACGATGCGTCGTGCGTCGTAGTTCATTATGATGACGTATGTGGGAAAAGTACTTACGATCAAAACATATCTGTGATAACTTTATCCTCGTCATAAACCAGTCACAGCCATCGTACCGTTGAACTGTACCGTTGTGAACTAAACCTCCATACGTCACGGGTTCACGATTCCAGAGAAAACGCGTCCCACGTACCACTTAATATACACAGATAGGAGCTGTCACCAATACCCTGGACCCAAGCTCTAGAAGAGTCACACCAATGCTCAGAAATATTTAGTGCGTGTCAGTTTGCCTTGTTGTATATATGTATTGTTCAATTGAATGGAAAAAGCCTTCAGCGATGACATTGGCTGAGCAGTAGCGCACCAGCCTCATGCGTGCTGTTGTGCACAGTCGTGCCCGCCGCCGCCGCCCGGCCGTGCTGACCCCGTCTGTGGTGCGCGCGCGCGCAGCTCGGCGCACCCGTGCGGCTCGCCCAGCCTCAGCTCGTCGCTGGACTCGACGGTGACGTCGCTGAAGGACTATTACCGCCGGCGCAGGAAGGGCTCCGAGCTGCGCGAGGAGGCCGGCAGCCCCGCCGCCGAGTCCAAGGGCAGCCAGGACAGCCTGCGTCACCGGCCGCGCAGCAACTCACAGAGCAGCCAGGGCAGCGACAAGGTGAGGCGGCTCGTGCCGAGGACGTGCCGCGCGCCGCCGGCGCCGCCGGTGCGCGCCAACACCCTTCGGCAGGCATTTGCGCGCGGACATTTCACGGAAGCGGACGCTTCGGAAGGTTCGCTTTTCTTTCGCGTCACTAGATGCCTAGTATCCGGTCGCCATGCCCTCTCATGCCTGTCCAAGTGCGGGCGTGAAGAAGTGGTGAGTAAGTGCGGGTGTACGTGGGTCGTGCGTCTGGCGTGTCGCGATCCCCTGTCGTGGCCCCTCACGTCCGGGGGCCCGTGCGCAGGCGCACAGCGGCTGGCGGCTGCTGTTCAAGCGGCGCGACAAGAAGAACGGCTCGGCGCCGGTGGACGTGCCGGCCGGGCGCGGCGGCTCGCCAGCCGGCTCGCACATGTCGCGCTCCCCCGGCCCGGCCGAACTGGCCGCGCGCCAGCCGCGCCGCGGCGACGACGACGCGTACGTGGCACTGGGCCCGGTGGCCCGCTCGGGTGGCGGCAGCCGGCGCCGGCGGCCCAAGCGGCGCGAGCAGCCGGCGCCGGCCGTCCACTACACCGACGACGACTATCTGGCGATGGGGCCGCTGAACCTGGACGACGACACGTCGTCCGGCTCGCAGGCAGACTCGCTGAAGCGGCGCCACGCGGCCGGCCGCAAGACGTCGGCGCCGGCGGCCGAGCCGAGCTACCTGTCGATGGAGCTGTCGCCGCGGCCGGCGCCGCTCTGCAGTCCGCTGGCCAGCCCGTCCGGCGACTACCTCACCATGGACATGTCGGCGCGCCGCACGTCCACCGCCGGCACGGCCGACTACGTCAACATGGACGTCAGCGGCGGCTTGGCGGCGCCGCCGCCGCTGCCGCCGCCGGCAATCCACTCCGACTACCTGGCGATGACGCCGCGCGCGCTGGTGGCTCCGGCGCCCGCGCCGGTCGCCTCGCCCGCGCCCGCCGCCGCCGCCTCCGACTACCTGGAGATGACGATGGGGTCGGGCCGGGCGCCGGCGCCGACGGCCGTGCAGCGGTCTCAGTCGGCGCGCTCTTCCGCCGAGCGTGAGCTGGCGCACCGGCCGGCCGGCAGCCGCCGCGACCCGGACACCTACTGCGTGGTGGAGGTGCCGGCGCGGCCCGTCTCGGCCCTGCTCAGCGTGCAGACGGAGCCGGACGTGGCCGGCCGCCGCAAGTCGGACACGACACCGCTCGACGAGCGCCGCCGCCAGGGTCCCGGCAAGGTGCAGCGCAAGAACTCGGCCGGCGGCGGCGGCGGTCTGCTTCGAAAGCTGGACGCCATGAATCCGCGCACCATGTTCCGCTCACTGAGTCAGCGCGGCAAGAAGGAGCACAAGCGGTTGTCGCCGAGCTCCTCGCAGGAGACGCCGCCGCCGCCGCCGCCGCCGTCGTCGCTCGACCGCTCGCCCTCCTGGCTCGGCTCGTCCCAGTCGCTCTCCTCGTCCAACAGCATTCAGGAGGAGGCGGGCGGCGCCGAGTCGCCGGCGGCCGCGGCGGGCGCTGGGCCGCCCGTGTTCCGAGCGGCCGAGCCGGAGCCGCGACTCAGCTCGGTCAGTCCGTGCGGCTCGGCGGCCAGCGTGACGCCGCGTGCCTCGCTCTCCGGCTCGCTGGCCACCACGCCGCGCCAGACGCCGGCGCCCACGCCCACGCCCACGCCGACGCCGACACCCACGCCGACGCCGACGCCGACGCCGACGCCGCTGACCACCAGCAGCTCGCTGACCAACTTCGGCGCGGCTGCGGGGCCGGCGCCGGTGCGGCAGCGGCACGAGTCGAACCCGCCGCCGTCGAGCCTGCAACGGCCGCAGCGGCCGCAAACGGGCGTCGGCTCCCAGTCGCTCACCACGCTGCCGACCGAGGAGCAGGAGCTGGTGTACGCTTCGCTTGACCTGGCCGAGAACGACGCCGCCGGCTGTCAGCCGCTCGCCGGCGCCCACAAACTCACCTACGCCAAAATCGACTTCAACAAGAGCGAGACGCACAAGTGCAAGCGCGATGGCTGAGGGCGGCGCCGTGTCTTCCGGCGTCGGAGGGCACGCGCGCCGCGCGCTGCCCACTCGTATTCTACCGAGCTATTTTGTTATTTCTATACGAGTCTATGGAGGTACTGGTGTCGCGCTCTGGCGTCGCCCGGCGCGCGGGCGGCGGCGCCGGGCCCGCGGCGACGTGATGCCAAGAGCTTTGCACTGGAGGGCGGCGGCCGGCCGTCACTCGGCCTCCGGGCGTGGGTGGTCGGCGCGGCCCGGCGGGCGAGGGGCCAGCGGCTGGCTTTGAATGTGCGCGCGGCGCTGCTGGCTTCGACCCGCGCCCCCACGCGCGCGCTGCTTCCGGTACTGGTTACGAGGGGCGGGAGCGCTGGGCGATGTCGCGCCGGTGGTTCTTGTGTACGCTGGCTGTACGCGCTGTGGCTGGGCGCTGCCCTTGTTGGACGGATGTGTGCGGCGTTCCGCTTCGACAGCGGGGTCGACTCGGGTACGGCGGCCTCGCTCCCGCCCGCAATCTCCGTGCGACATGCGGAGCGTATATGTGTGGTTTTACCGTTACGTAAGGATCATATCAGTGTTGTTCTATACATTTGTTGGCAGTCTGATTTGCTCCGTTCAAGGCGCTGCTAGTCATGTGTGGTCTTGTTCGGCATCGCTTGTCCCCGCTCGTTTTACCAGCCGCGTAGGTTTAACTAACATCTGGCATGTATTGTGCATAGATAATTATTTTAATACAGAAGTGATAGATATACGTCTTTCACGAGCAGACATTTGGGTAACTGCACACGAAAAACGCCACATTGAGATGGTGAACAGTGTGGGACGCGACATAGAATAGAGTTTAGACACAGCAGTACTGACCATAATTCGAAACCTCAACAGCAAAACGTTTCATTTAAAGACGCACGGGTGCGCACGCCTGGCCATCAACCAAAGCCTCTCAGTCGAGTACGGCAGCCCGCGGGGCTCGAGCTGCGCTGCCGGCGTGTGACTTCATGGCCGCGTCCCCTGCACAATCATGCGCCGCTCTCCGGCCGCGGCCGGGGGCGGGGCTGGCGTGGGCACCCCGGCAACAGTCTGGGAACAACTGTCACCATCAAACTGAAGACGTGGTCTTAACCGTTATGGCGTAGCCAAAGCACGGCCATACATGCACTGCGAAAACCACGCCAGGTACACATGTTTAGACGCATCTGCGCACAAAGTGAAGGCACAAACGTGGCTTCAAATCACCAGCGCTGTACGTGACCACGCGAGCGATTCGGGCCCACTGGTAAGTCTTGAAAACAGCTGCTGCCCTGGTTCTCGTGAATGAAGAGCTGTGCACCTGTCGCGTGAGTCCACTGACATCTAGTACTCGGTTGCGGCCGTGCGTTCTGTTTTGTTCCCATCCAGCCCCTTTTGCAATGGGGGTTGGCCTGTTGGCAGTTTGTTTAAGTATACCGCAGGCCATGTCTAACGACTGTTTAAAGCTTTAGAATCGTAGCTCGCATTGTTGAATGGGCGATGGGATGGAAGGCAAATGAATTATCACGGTAGTTCAGAAGATACCAAAAGCTGAACTGATAGTCAGAAAATTTTGGATGTCTGTATCAACGGGTTTGATCCAGGGTAATGGAGGAATAGGTCAGTAGGAATGGGCTGAGTTCGCACAACGCGTTGGGAAGTCCCCTTTTCGAGACAGCAAACGGAGGCGCTTGCCTGCAGCCCGCGCGCACTAATTTACAAACCGTGTTGCTTGCAAGATCTGCCGGGGAGTCTGGCCAGGCATCCAACACCTGTCTGCGGAATAGGGGACTAACGACTTCCATGACTGGTCAAGAGATTGAAAAAAACAATGTATAGGGTGGCCGGCTAGTGGTGGTCAGGCTGATTTGCTTAGCATACCTGCGTGGTTTTCATAGTTCAATGTCTCGTGGGTTAGTGCAGCTGAGACTGGTTTCGGAAAGCGTGATACCGGCCGCTTGCCGGTCGATCGCACATATGGATCGGACGGTGTTGACATTGTGTAGCGGTTTGTGGGCCGTACGCGAGCACACAACACGTAATTGACTTGACGTCTATCTGATCTGGCCGCTATAATCTGGCATCAACCAATCAAAAACTAAATCCACCAATTAGCAATCAATCCATTAAAACAGCTTAGCGCGAGCGTATCCGTGGTCAGTGCCGGCCTGATATTGTGACTATGTGAATGCGAACGGTTGGAGGCCCGTTCGCACCCAGGCATTTTCTGATACGCTGCCATCAATTTATTCGACCCCTCTTCCGGCGTGTGTCGTCCTGGGACGGTGGCGAGCGTGAGCAAAGCTACTCCCGACGGTAGCACGTCAGGCGTTCGTCACCACGAGCTCAGGCGCAGTGCGCTGGCACTCAGTAAGCCACAGCGTGCGGTCAAGAGCCTTATTCTCTCCAAATCTTCGCTACTTGCGCTCTGTTATCAGAATGCTTCAGTCACCGCCGGTCAGTCTCCGCTGCCTCCTGCCCCGCCCCGTCCTGTCCCATCCCGTCTTGTCCCATCCCGTCCCGTCCCGTCCCGTCCCGTCTTGTCTTGTCTTGTTCCGTCCCGTCCAGTCCCGTCCCGTCCCGCTGTCTTGTCCCGTGCCGTGCCGTGCCGTCCCACGCCACCTGCGCTCCCTCCCCCTCTCGTTCTCCCCGGGATCACGAGCGCGTCTGCTCCGAACACTATCCGGCAGCAACACGGCACACCGTCCGCTGCGCCCCTGGTGGTGCGGAAGACCTGAGGGCTTCCGTCAGCGAGCGTCCCGGCCGGCTGCCCGCCAGCAACCGCTCTCTCTCTCTCTCTCTCTCTCTCTCTCTCTCTCTCTCTCTCTCTCTCTCTCTCTCTCTCTCTCTCTCTCTCTCTCTCTCTCTCTCTCTCTCTCTCTCTCCTCTCTCTCTCTCTCTCTCTCTCTCTCTCTCTCTCTCTCTCTCTCTCTCTCTCTCTCTCTCTCTCTCTGGGCGCGGCTGCGGTCACGACGAGCACACCGCGTCGGGTGTCAAGCTGACGAGCACACCGCGTCGGGTGTCAAGCTGACGGCGGCGGCGCATTCTCGAAGGTAACGACGGATTCTGAACAGAGATATGGCCGCCAGATCCCGCGGAGTTAGGTTCGCGCACCGTGACGCGTGTTGTTGGCAGACTCGTTTGGAGGCGGGCGTGAGCGGTATTGCCATATCAATATGACAAGACACGGGCTCCGTTCTTTGCGCTTTTGCAAAGACAGGTATCTGGCCGGATCAGGCACTTACTGGTGCTCCGCACTCATGCCACGCGCAAGAGCCACGGCAGATTCGTGTGAGTCGCACGGCTCCGAAACGGTTTGGCAGATTCCCTGTTCCCTGTTCCCTGAATTGACCCGAAATGGTCTTTGCCTAATTGTAGCCCAAGAACTGTTTTCACCCATCCGATACGGAATAGTAAATGATATATTTTGCTGCCGGTACCGGCTGCCGATATATCGGCTGCCGGTACACGGCAGCCGATACCGGTACCGGTATCCCGCTGGCCGTGTCATCCCCCGCGGCCCGAAAACACCCGCCGCATCGATCCTGACAAGTCGAGCCTGGACCGATGACTACATACTCTGACGGAGCCGGCCTGCCTCCACTCCCGTACACGGTTTGTGTGAGTGTCGGCTACCGGCCAGCTAGGGCCGGCTGTCAGGGCTGAAGGCGGCCGGCTCTAGCTACTGGGGCCGGGTGCCAGGCCGGAGGCGGGCGGCCCCAGCTGCTGGGGCCGGAGGCGGGCGACCCCAACTGCTGGCGCCGGGTGTCAGAGCCGAAGGCGGCCGGCTCCAGCTGCTGGGGCCGGGCGCGGGGTCGGAGGCAGGCGGCTCCAGCTGCTGGGGCCGGGTGCCGGCCGGAGGCGGGTGGCCCCAGCTGCTGGGGCCAGAGGCGGGCGGCCCCAGCTGTTGGGGCCGAAGGCGGGCCGCGCCAACTGCTTGCCGCAGCGGGCCACAGGCCTAGCTCACATTAGAACGACACGTCAGCACTCATTTATACACAACTGAACGCGTCCCATGTGAGTGAAACGGGGTAGTCAGGATTTATAATTCAACCAGTCTTGCAGGAATCTCTTCTAATCAAACAGCTTGTATGGAAATGTTTAAAGATTTCCACAACACGGTGTTTAGAGAATGGCGCTTTGTGGAGCTGAAACCTTCATGAAACAGCTGTCAGTGGTGACAAATGCACTAGCTACTAAAAAGCGTGACCTGGCCGAGTCGCTGAATTTTGGAACTGGGCACCGTTCAAATACGGCTGCTCAGGCCGCAGCCAGCCAGGCCCTCGTGACTGATTCAGTCAGCTATCCGGCCGACAGCGGACATCTGAGCGTGACGGACGTTTGCATTACGCTCAGAGCGTTGCCGTCCGAGGTCAGGTCGTCAGGTACCCGCTAATGGCCGCTGGCGAGGCAGTGTCCACAATATCTGCCGCGCCGCGAGCGTGTCTGTGCTCGGTCGTGACCTTGATGCTCAGTCGTGACGTGACCTTGGGATGTCTCTTAGGCGCAGCCACCCGGCCGTCGCCTGTACCCACTCGTTTACTGTTCTCAGTGCATGTGGCGTGCGATAGGTCATTAGCTGTTCCAAGATGTGTACTTTGGATATCATTCTCTGAGCACCAAACAGCTAAGCATGGGGTCGCAACAAGATCAACTACGCCTTAAACGTGTTGATGCCGGTAACGATATCTCGTACGTTTAATTACACTGACGCGAACAGAAAATCATGGTTCTCAGCGGCTCTTTTTAACGAAACACGATCCGGAGCATCAGAAAAGCTGCCATCTGTGCTGTCATCTGTGCTGTCAGCTGTGCTTCATCCCAGGCCGCAACGCTATAAACAAAGACGTTGTCACGATGATAGCAATGCCATGGATAATAAAGACAAGTCGTAATCGCTTCTCACTGCGCAAGATTAGTGGAGAATTTGGCACACAAAATGATCACGGCGTTGAAAACAAGGACCTTGCGAGCTATGCCGAGCACAAGCGGTCTTTCGCACACCAGAAGGCCGTTAATGAACGAAAATATCAAGTAATCATTAGAAATAGTTAGCTAGTTTTTAGTGCAACAGTTAGCTGGTATCATGAAATAGCAACCCAGCGAACGCGTCTTTGTCCCATATCAAGTTACCTTCTGACCCTGTACTCGGCACGTGTCGTGAATACTTTTTAACTCAGCCGCCTGTGTTTCGGGGTCTTATGTGGTACGTGCAATCCCTTTAATGCCATTTGGGCCGGAAAGATTGAATGGATCAGGAACGCGAGACGCAAAATGTTGCTACCACTATTGCCGCGTTTTGTTCTCGGTTCAAAGCCCTTTTCACATTACAAGACTAAACTGCTCCATTCGACGGGTCAATGCACCACAAACTGCACAACCCAAGTCGCTCTACCCACTGCAGAGAACGTTTTCGCAACGGCGACGAACTTCGCTGTTATGAGATCACGCGGTTATTTCGTGCAAAAAAATCGCAAATAAAATATGGTCTATCGCAAATCCCGGTGTGGCAGCCTCGTAGCATCGACACCAGACAGCCATGGTTCTTAGCCCCGACACCGACCACTTGCCGGGTACACTGCCGTGGTTAGTGAGTGAGGCGCCCAGCCAAGATCAAGGCATGCTCCGGCACAGTTTTCTCGCAGTGCTGAGCGCTACTCTGCACTGCGTGAGCACATGCTCTTTCATAATGATATATCGAAAACATGTATCCCTCTTAACCACAAAGGCGCCGCCCATTAAGCTCGAGTGTGCAGCGGTGACCGGTGAACCTCACCGCCACCGAACAGCGATCATTTCTCGTCCGAACGCCGACCTGTCTGCGAGGTGCCCGCCACTGACAGTCCGATCTGCTCTGAGCCAGGCGTCTCCCGGCGCTCTTTCCTCCAATGGGAGGCGATGGAGATGACCTCCTGCACCAGCGGTACGACCATGATGAACACGGCCGCCACGAAGCCCCAGCCCCTGGAGAGGGTCGTCCAGGCCAGGAAGCCAGCATCGTCCAGCGGGTGCGCGGCGATCATGCTGCCCGGCCAGATGACGACGAACAGCAGCGTGAAGCCGGCGCTGGCCACCAGCGCCGTCCGCTTGGCCAGCCGGAAGCGGTGGACGATGCCGCTCAGCGGCGGACGCTCGTGGTAGCTGGCGGCCTCAGACGCGTCACTGAGCTGCAGGCAGTGACGGTAGGTGTACACCCAGGGCGTCAGCGGGTTGTCGATGTCGCGTGTCTTCTCCCACTCGCGATCCATCTGCGCGGCCGTCATGCGCGCGTTGTCGAGCAGCGAGAGCACCACGCACACCAGGCCGCCCACAGACACGGAGACGACGTTGCCGATCAGCATCGGCCGCTGGCGGCCCGTGTTGGCCACGAAGTCGCCGAGGCCGCCCGGGTAGGCGGCGGCCAGCGCCAGCCAGCTGACGATGCCGCAGACGCAGCCGCCGACGGCGCCGCCCACCATGCCACGCGCGCTGGCGCGCACCCACAGCACGGAGAGCGCGATCGGCACGACGGCTGACGAGATGAGGATGCCGGTGAAGTAGTAGGTCCAGGCGAGGTCCAGGTCGACGGTCCAGCAGAGCACACATAGCGGCACCGACAGGAACGTCGCCCAGACGATGCTCCAGTTCTTGTAGCGCAGCAGGTGAGCCAGGTACTGGCGGTAGGCGCCGTGCGTAGGGCAGCCGAACGCCGGCTTGACGAGGCCCGACGCGCGGCGCTGCAGCTCGTCGTCCTGCCGACACGGCCGGCAGTGCTGCATGGCCTGGCAGCGGCAGACCTTGACTGTGTCGGGACCGGCGCGCGGTCGGCGCCCGCACAGGATACACTCGCCCGGCGCCAGGTCCGCCCGGAACGGCTTCAGGTACACCTGGTACACGTCGTAGATGACGATGGAGGCGACCGCGATCACCTCGGCCGAGCCCGTCGACATGACGGCCATCAGGATCAGGAACAGGATGGCGTACTCACCTGTGCGGCCGAGCAGCGCCTGCGCCACCATCGGCGCCACCAGACCCTTAGACACGTCCTTGTCGGTGAGCAGCGGCGCGTCCTGCGCCGAGCTCATGGCTAGGTACGTCAGGCCCATGGTGGTGGCCAGGCAGAAGGGGATGGCGAACCAGGTGAGGCCTCCAAGGATGAAGCCCCAGACACCCTGCAGCGGCTTGGCCGCCACCGAGCTCTGCCAGTAAGCCTGGTCGCAAAACACGGTGCCGAAGTTGCCGACGATGTTGACGATGCCGAAGATGAAGCCGCCCTGCGAGAGAAACGTCAGGAAGCTGTGGTCCTGGTTGCCGTCGGGGGCGCGCATGCAACTGACGAACTCAAACAGCCGGTCCGAGCTGCCGAAAGGGTTGTCCGGGTTGTCGTTCGGGTTGTAGTACACTTCGACGATTAGCATCAGGATCATGATGAAGATGAGCGCCGTGTTGAAGTAGGAGACGTAGAAGGTGGCGCCCAGGCCGCCGATCAGCGTGTAGCCGCCGATGACGATGGCCAGCAGCATGGCCGACATCTCCGGGCTGAGGTCGGCCACCAGGCTGTTGAGCACGGCCGTGCCGGCGATCGTCAGCGACATCATCACCACCAGGTTGGTGAGGAAGGCGAACAGGCAGTACACCTGGTGCGTGCGCGGGCCGAAGCGCGCGTGGATCACCTGCAGGAACGTCTTGGCGCCGGGCGCGCGCGTCTTCAGCTGAATGGAGAGGATGGCGAAGAGGATGATCTGGATTGTGGCACCGCCGGCGTACCAGTAGGGGCCGCTGATGCCATACAGGCTGGAGACGGTCGACGACTGCAGCAGCGTCGCCGACCACGTCCACTGCGACACGATCGTGGTGGCCGTCAGCCCGATTGACACCTTACCGCCGGCGTCGAACGCCGTGTCCAGGCTGTCGGCGTCGTGGTAGACGTGCTTGCGCACCATGTGGAAGCCGTAGGCGATCAGCGAGGCGAAGACGCCGACGCCGGTGAACACGCCGACCGCCTCGGCCATGCTGACGGTGGGCTGCACGCCGCGCAACACCCGCGTGCGGTTGGCGCGCGTGCTCAGCACATGCTCGCTGCAGCGCCCGGTCGGCGCGCTGAGGACTGTGCCATCGGAGACTGGCGGCTCGGACGCTGCGGACACCAGCGTCCAGCAGAAGATGCCCAGAGCCAGGACCGCGCCGCGCTGAAGTGGCCTCATGTTCTCACGCAGTGACGTCTCCTCAGTGACCGGGGGCTGACTGGGACGCGGAGTCGGAGTCGACGGCGGTCTCCAGCGGGGACGCCGCCTGGTCAGGGCGCGCGGGTCCTGCCGCGATTGTTGCCAGCAGAAGGCGCCGCACCTCCTCAGCGGCGTGTTGCTGGGAGCGGGCCGGCCACGGGCCTTTAACGACGCGGCCCAGGGGGCGGGGCGTCGTCTTAGGCCCGCCCCGGGGCCTCGTGACGTGGCCAGTGACGGCGGGCAAGCCCGCGGCGAAACCACCTGTCTCGTCTCTGGCGATCTACCCTGACGGTAAAGGTCGACGCCTGTCTCCAGCCGTGGCTGCGGAAGGCGTCGGAGACGCACCTTGCGTCCCAGGTCGCCAGCCGACCTTCCGCTTCAGTTACTGATGCAAGATTTTCGTTACAAAGGGATCACCTTTTTTGGTTGGTACTATGGGTACCTAACATCTGTCAGGGAAGGCCGGACTGCTTTGCTTTTTATAGTGGATGTTTGAGACATCGCTCGCTGGGAACAAACGAACGGCCTGTCACCGTGACAACTTTGTTAATTGACAATGGCGCCAATTCCTTCCTTCAAAGTCCACTGGGCGTCTTTTTGCCGTAAGGCCGTGGCGCAGTGAGGAGATGGTGCAATATCGACACCAAATCGATATTTCGTACCTGACTTTTCACTCATTTTCGGGTAATTTTCTGCCAGAACGATTTCCATTAGGTTTTGTGTCGATACATTATCGTTTTGCCCTGTTGTCCTCAGCTATGTCGTTGACATCTCTCACACCGTGACCGTGCTGCACCTAGATGTCCCCGAGGCTGTATAATGTTGCGTGCGGAACAGCTTGGCACGGGCTGTGTCAACTTGCTCCGCACGGTTGAGCGGTAACTGAGCATCTTCCCCGAGGCTGTATAATGTTGCGTGCGGGGCAGCTTGGCACGGGCTGTGTCAACTTGCTCCGCACAGTTGAGCGGCAACTGAGCATCTTCCCCGAGGCTGTATAATGTTGCGTGCGGAGCAGCTTGGCACGGGCTGTGTCAACTTGCTCCGCACGGTTGAGCGGTAACTGACCATCTTCCCCGAAGCTGTATAATGTTGCGTGCGGAGCAGCTTGGCACGGGCTGTGTCAACTTGCTCCGCACAGTTGAGCGGTAACTGAGCATCTTCCCCGAGGCTGTATAATGTTGCGTGCGGGGCAGCTTGGCACGGGCTGTGTCAACTTACTCCGCACGGCTGAGCGGTAAGTGAGCATCTTCCCCGAAGCAAATACTGACCGTCTTAAATTAAATACAACGTTGTGAACACAGTGTTGTGATGAAAACACCGTGAAGCTACATTGAAGAAGCCAGTAATGGGGGTCCTATCCGCAACGAACTTGTTTTTGCTGCGCCTTTGCTCCGGTTGTCCCGGTTGGTTCTGACTGCGATGTACACATACACGACATGCGATTTCCAGCATCACTGAATTCGGTCCTATGCTAAAAACGTGCGCAAGAAGACCGACAAGTAACTCTCAAAAGCGGTCCCTGATGCCACAAGGTGTTTGGGGGAGGATGGAATAGCGCTGCTAGAGAAGTCGCCGGTGAATACGACATTCAGTTTATGACACTAAGGTGCCACTGCCAGTAAGCGTAATAATGGTTCTAAAGCTTTTGAAAAACCGATTCGTGCGTCAAATTCTATTATCCCCTGCCGTCTGGCCAAACCATTACTTGGATAGATAGTCCATTGAGTTCGAATAAGCGTGAAATTTAAACAATGCACCTCAACCATGGCACCTTGACGAATTTTTCCATTGAGACATTGGGGCTGTAAGGTAGGGAGGCATGGGACTATGAGACAAAGTTAAAATGACTTTCTTTTACAGACTTTATCGAGTCCCAGTTGTTGACCGTCTCATTCGTCGAATGTCGCAGGTATGTGGTGCTCTTTTATCCGTTGTAAAGATAACGAATTCTTGCAAAAGGTCATTAAACATAAGATAGACACGTATTATGACGAAACCAAAAAAAAACTCGATGGCATCACGCTTGAGTTTTATTTTAATGGTGAACTCAGCCCTGGTCAGCTGTAAACATGTGTGCGACGGTCTCATCGCGACACGGCGATTGTAGCCCCGACAACAAATGACTGAACTCAAACAAAATACATTTAGCTTTGATGATCTTACTATTGGTCCTCCCCGGGCGTTGAGTACCCAGCTGACTCGTACCAGAACGACAGCCTCTTCTTCTTCCTCGTCGAGGGTGAGACGGTGAAGAAGTTATGTTGCTGCTTGCAGGGGCGTTATACGTTCTACCGATCTCTGAAAGCATGCGGAGTGTGATTGGTATCTCAGATAAGCGACTTTCCTGCCGAAAAAGAATCAAAGTCCAGGCCGATTCAAACTGGAGCAGTTTGGGGCTAGGAAATAAAAGTTTATGGTTTTAATGAGCAAGAATGAATAATTGGGCGGGAAAGAGACAATCTCTATGGGCCAAAAACATTAACATATCATGCTTTTCGGACCAGTCACTGACTTGGTGCCCGTCTGGCAGCCACAACCCAAACGAGTTCCAGAGGGCTGCCACACCGCCAGTTCCAGAGGGCTGCCACGCCGCTAGTTCCAGAAGGCTGCCACACCGCTAGTTCCGCCGGCTGATCGCTTCTGTGAAGCCAGTTCTAATAGTGTTCCCTCAAAGTCTGAAGCCAGTCTCCATGTTCATCCGTCTAAAATTCGGATGCCTCAGCGGGGACGTACCTTGGGTCCGAGCCTAGCGCCCGGAGACGCCATCTCCGCAGGCACAAGTGCTACAAACACGAAACTCGGGAGCGATTCGGGAAAGCCTTTTGGGAGGCGGTTTCTAAGGAAATGAGATTTTTTACCTTTTGTTTAAGTCAATGTCACAATATGTCCAAAGAGGTCCAATATTGAAGATAAGAGGGAACTTTCGTTTCACCCGGACTCAGCCAGCCGTCAAAATGCCTTGCCCGACTGGCTGGTCAGGAGCCCTCATCCTAAGCATCGCGGAGAAAGCAATGAAATACTAGTGAGGATAACGCGGAATTGCGAGTCGTAGCAACACATTATGTGGGCCAATATTTTAGTCATAAGCGGTCATAATAGATGTAAAGACTAGGCCAGGGTCGTATTGAGACAAGCAAACAGACGATCTTGTTTGGAGAATGCGTAGTCGATTCTATGATAAACATGTGGGACGGATGTAATATGTATAACATGACACTTGTTCTAAGTGTCGTCGAAATCTTTATACCTCTATCAACAAGTTATGATGGGTGCAATTTATTAGAAGTTTCACCTCGGACATAACCACAGTCAGTGATCTAACCTGCTTGGAACATAAAGTTGCCCACGGGGTGTAAAACAGACTAAAATAAAGGTACCAAAAAGTTCGCTAAGTTTTTCGCTAAGCTCAGAGAGCCTTGGAGGGCAGAGTTCCCCGCCCCTCCTCTCCGACCCAGGCCTAGCGTCTATCTCCATTTTAAATCGATGTCCGTGTCCAGAGTGATAACGATAAGATGAAGATAAACTTTATTAGATTGGGTATTACTACATCTTACTGGAACTGTAAGCTTCATGAAAACTAACTGTCATGCACTTTGCTTGAATTCGGCGGGCATTGGCCAAGAACATATTTTATCCTGACGGTATCATGCAAGCTGCCTATATGCCGAGCAGCGCTTCCAGGTGTGCAATGGACAGAAGAGGACAAGCACAGAATTGCAGAGCCACACCTAATTTGCGTTCCAAAACTATCGCAAAAGGCTAAGCACGAAGGTGGAAGGGATTGAACATGGGATCGTTATGGAGCCAGATGGTACAAAAATAGTTTGTGCACCCGGATCCCCAATGCAAGGCACCTTTTTAAGAAATCCGCATGCATGGATTTCCAGCCACGCAGTGATCCAGTCACTTTGCATTCGGCCTTAACCCCAGGCACTGGATTGAAGGCATTAAGCACCCTCGGACAATCTTGAGAATGCCGCCCAGCGTTCATTTCAGCAGGTCTCAGTAACGGCGCAAAGTTAGGAATTTAACGCTGGCAAACGTGATTGAACTTTGTCCCGACGAAAAATCTGTTCCCAATAGTGGAACTACTTGCAAAGAATGCGCTTCTTCCCGAAAAATTTTGCTGGGATAGGGGGACTGTTCCCTTTAGTCTGGAGATAGAGGGAGATACGTCTCCACATCCGCCTAGTAGCGTCGCTCAGCGGTCATCAATATATTTTTGTAAGTATGCAATTATTAACCCATCATATCACGTATAATAACATGCAGACCGGCACCGGAGGTAAGTTGATACTTTGGGAGTTGGGCTGTAGCTCTGCTTCTGAAAAAAACGCGGTGAAATACGTATGGAAATTAATTGGCAGACACTTCAAGCGAAGGAATACATGAAAAAGAGGGAATGGAACAGTTTTGGGGAACGGGATTGCTCAAACCTCGAAAAAAAATCCTCACTTGACCCCGGGCTCTAATACATATCAAAGGGACACCATGGTTGGCAAGACATCATTACAGGTATATGTGATGGAGTGGGGGGGGGGGGGTGGGGAGGGGGGGGGGCATTCATATTTCGGCGGTCCTATGTACATGCCGTTTATTTGTGTTGAAGATGAAATTAGTGAGCTCATACGAAATATAAAAAAACGGTAGGCTGTAAGCAGACTTCCACTCCATTCTACCTGCTAGATCGCATTCGATTCCCGAGTCCGTTTTGTTTCAGGCCAATCCAGATTTGAATTCGGCTCCACTGCTGCTCGGCTGTATCGGATTCAAAACTGATCTGCATGGCGTGCGATAGAATCGCATTGAGTGCGCTTTCACCTTGAAAACACCCGCTTCACAAAAACAGTCGACGGCTATATATATATATATATATATATATATATATATATATATATTATATATATATATATATATATATATATAACGGAAAGCGAACTGCAAACTATTGAGCTGGTTTAAGGCAGCAGCAACTTTCA